TGTCCACCCCCTCCTCTTCATTTCTTTGTTATGTGTGTGGTGTAGGCGCCTTTCGCCTCTGTCTCTCTCCGCCCATGGGGCGCGGTGGGGGGGACGAGAGCACCGTTTTCACCCCCCTTCCTCCATTCCCGTCCATCACAGGCTGGATCTGTTAAAAATCAGCTATCCAAAGGATCTGAAGATCAGCAGGTTGCCTGCCCCTGGTGAATTATGACTGGTACAGATTCTCCATAGTCTCAACATGGTCTTTCTCATAATGTACAACCTGATCATTTTCACTGGATGTGCTAGAGATTGGGTCTTAATCCTTTTAAAAGGACAGTGCGTGTTCCGATGCTGAACTCTCCTTTCCTCTCTTCTCCTCTCCACACGTGCATGAACAGTACCCCATTACCTTGCCTGTGATCCAACAAGCCTCTCACAATGACTTTGATAGCTCTTAGAATCATCAACATGGAAGGACTCTTTGTGGCAACATCCTTTTTTTAGCACTGTCATATCAAGAGATTCATCTAGAAATGGGTTAGGACATGAAGCAGCATCTAAAACATGCCAGCTAATTCACAAACAGCTCAGGAGGCCGTGGAAAGCCCAGGTGTCCATGTAGGGTCTGGCATGTACTGACCTCAGCTGTTAGATCCATATGTGTCCATTCATTCATTGTTCTTTGTTTTAGCATCCAAGTTAGGCAACATTTAATCTGCTAGGATTAGAATGAAGATATGGCTCTAAGTATATAGCTTCTCTTCTTTTTTTTTCTGAGTTTTTTTTAAAAATGAGCTTTTTGCCATTTCTCTGCACATCTTCACAATCATTTCCGTAGCCCTTCTGTTATTTGTTTCTCCTCTGAGACTTGCTAGTGGCTTGAGAACTGTTTGTGGGGTTATTTATTTATTTATTCATTCATTCATTCATGTGCTATGAGCATTCCATCTGTCACTGATGCCAGTTAGCACAAAGTTTAGAATATGTTTCGAAGTATCTTGCCACCACCAGTTTTTTGAAGAATTTTTTACAAAATCTCACAGTGGAGCAGATTGAGAATGGAAGCACAGCTCATGTGTGAGCATTTTTGGCTTTAGAAAAATAGCAAAAAATAGCACAAAGCTAGATATCTGCAGACAAAGATATAGCACCTAGGTATAAAGACTGATGGATAAGATATACTCGAAAGTTGCTTTCTAGTTTCTTTTTCTTTTGTTTTCTTTTTGTTAATTTCCTATCACTTCAGGCATCTGTTCTGATTACCACCAGGGAATGATTCTGCATTCATTACAGCTTGCAACTTCTGTTCATAATCCAACTCGGTCTGAGTAAAGTGTTAATTAGTTGTACTTGCTGTCATTGTTAAGTTGGCAACCCCAGGCTTCTACAGAATATTACTGTTGTATCAGACTCTGAGGGTATGGATTCTACTTGATACCCACAAAGGATCTGCTTGACTTATAGAGGTACTGGGCATTAAGCTGCATCAGCACTGCCCCTGAAAAGTACCAGCCATATCTATCTATTTCTGGAGACAATGTCTCACAGCATTTTCTAGTATAAATGATGATAAAGTGTGCACTGAGGTTTAATTCAAGCACTGTGCCATTAAAGAAACAGTGTGATACGCTGCTACTTTAAAATGACGATGACCTCTGAGGTGAGCCAGCAGTACAGCAGGATAATTGTGCCAGTCTTGGATTAAAGCAGAAGTGCACAACGTTTGGGGGGACTGAGGCAGAATCTGGCCTTTGAATGGCCTCACAGAAGGGGTATAAAATGAAAAAAAGGCAGCAGAGCTTGGACAACAGTTAAACCTAGATTTATTTTGCTTCCACTAAATCTTATTGAATTAAA